AAACTTACGATATGTACACAGAAAACCAAAATTTAAAGAATTAAAGTACAATATAATAAAACCAGTAACTTAACACTAAAAGACAAAACATGCTTAAACCTTCTTGGATGATTAAGAATGTACTTTAGGATCTCACAGTGCCCAAGAGGCACCACTCTGAAAATCAGATTTTATATTGACTCTTAATAAAGACTTGTGGTCAGCTGAATGACAAATAATAGGATTTACTGTAACTCAAAGGCAGTATTTACAAATTTTCAGCAATATATAATATCAAAGTATTGACACAATAGCCCCATTTCATTTATATTAGCTGGTCTCTCTTTACAGGTATGTATTCAATCCTCAGTTACAACCTCAATCACTAGTGTCCTTAGCAGTTATGTGCTTCATATTAAACACAGAGTTCTGCTTGTCTGAAGTTAGTGGCTTCAGTATGGAAGTGAGTCTCATATGAAAGATAATATAGAAGACTGGCTAAGGGCTTGAAGCCAGAAAGGCAAGCTTTCAAATTATAGTGTTCCCACTTATTACCTTAACTGTGTGAATATAGAGAAATTTAACCCTGCTAAGCTTTAGTTTCATCTGAAAGTGGGGGTAAAAATATCATTTACTAATTGAGTTAATGTGAAGATGTTAGGAGAGAATGTACGTGAAGTCCTCAGTAAAGTATCTGAGTACCTGGCATACAGTGAAAATTCAATGAATTATTATTGGTTGGATTTTGGGGATGTTGGTATATAAGAAGCTTTCTGAATTCTAATTCCAGGAAAAGGACACTACAAAAAGAGTGCCAAGATGGCTGGAAGTCATGAGACTCTCCTCTTTGTCTACCCTTTATCATTACCCATGACCACCACCCTGTCAGCTCAAGCTGTCCTCTCTTCACCGCTGCTTGGTGAGCTCCTCCACTTCCAGCTGAAGACTGTTGATCTTGTCTCCAAAGTCCTGCTTGAAGAGCCTGTTGTCCAACTCAGCAGACTGGCGGCCTCGCTCAGCCTGGCGCAATCTGGATGTGAGCCATATGAACTTGTGATAAAAAACAAAAGCCACGGTGGGGAGGAAGACCAAGTTCACAAAATAAAATAAAACAACCCAAGGAAGAAGGTAGGGAGACACAGACCAAGGAGAAGAAATTATGTGGGGAAAAAAAGATGGTGAGGAAATAAATTCTAAAGAAAAGTAAGATGAAGGTGAACCAGGCAGAAGAAAAGCTGATTTTCCTTTTTTTTTTTTTATTTTCTATTACTACAGTTTACAGCCATTAGATGATAAACAATAAAACATCACATTTTAGAAAATCCATATCCAAAGCCAACCTCAAGTACAATTTAAGTTAAACTCACTTTTTACTTGTTTTTATTTCCTAACAGGTTTAGTACTTTCCATTTCTGTTTTACACACATAACTGGAACTTGTAAACGGCAACTACCTTCCTATAAGTGGAATTGGAACATTTCTCTGGGTCCTTTCCCCAAACCACACTTATTAAATCATAAGACATTATACATGAACCCTCACCCAGGCTCTGGGTTATTAAAAAGCCTTTGTCACAGTGGCCTTGTGGTGTGTGACTAAGTGGACAAGCAATGTGGTACTGGGCCTGCATAAGATTCCTGACTATATCCTCTGGAAGAGTCAATGCTTTCTTGTGAATATTCTAGAAGTTTGCAGCAATAAAGAGAGATATCTGGGGCTTTCTATAATAGAATTTAGAAGCATGCTAGTTGCAGCCTTCAATTTAAAAGTTTTATTTTGGTGTTTGAGTACTCCTTCCAAATGCTCATACCATTAAAGGCTGAAGAAGAATACAGTAAGAGCTATATCTGCATAGGTGCAAAATTACAAGAACTAAAGTTCAAGAGCACAGGATCTTCCGTAAAATTGGTCAAAACATATGTTCTTTGACTTGACTTTGGTTCAAGTCTGTGAAAACACACATCAAATCTATCTTACTCTTTTAACCAGGTTTTGCCAGAAAGTGATAAGGGATTTCACTAGCTGGAAGCAAAGGGATTATCTTTGTCCCTACCTAGGCAGCTGAAATGCTGCAAATCACACCAGAATGAGAGAAAAAGCAAATCTTTTGCTAAGACTTTTTGAAAAGCCTTATGTAAAGCCTCTCCCACAAATCAAAAGTCATTAAAAATAATCAAAGTATTTATAGAATTATTTACAACCTAAAGCATAGAAAGTGTCAGATCTGTGGTCACTTAGAAAAAGAAGCCCTGCTAACATTGCTTGCAGATATCTACTTGGAATCTTTATTTTTAGACTAAATAATAGTAAGAATGCTAGTTTATCATTTATCTACTTCCTATTTTTGAAATGTTTTTCTAATAATGAGATTATTATTAAACTTTAGCAAAATCCCATCTGAATAAAAAGTAACAGAAACTAAAATAAATATTTCTAGGGAAGGAATGACAGGCAGGAAACCATCACGAATGTCTACACTCTGCCTTCTTTAATCCAATAGGAAAAGAAGAAAAGATATGGAAAATGGGTAACTTTTTTTTTTTTTTTTTAAGGAGAGGCATGTTATTATTAAAATTGTTCTGAGCTATCTAAATAGAAAGTGGAATTGCAGGACAAATGGCAGAGGTAGAAGATGAAAAATATTAGAAGGGTTTACCCAAGCTTCCACATTATTATGTTATCATAAGTTATCTAATCACTAACTTTATTTCTACATACTTTAAAGAAATGTAAAGATGCGGTTTGTTTTTTTTCTCTCCCCGAAGTCACTAAGGCAAAAATGTTGCAAACACTCTTGGTTACTGATAATAAAACTGTAGTGAAATACTAAGTACTTATCATTGGCTTGGGGATTATGTTTATGTAACAAAAATGAAGAGAGGTCCTGGCCTAAGACACACAGAACTACTTTAGAAGAGTCTGAGTCCACATGGTATTCACCTCTAATCTAGTTCACTTTATTGCAATGGCCGAACAGGTTCAATGATACAGACATGAACATGTGTACCTAGAATCTGATATTGTCAAGGACTGGGTTGGAAAGGCATCAATAAATATGTACGGAGCTTCAATTCCCTAGGCTTTTTTCCCTTTCAGTGATTTATTTACTGGTCAATTCGTAATTTCACAAGGTTTATTTGGCATTTAGTCAGGGAACTTATATCAAATTTTCTAACTCTGGGGAGAAAATAAAAAACAAACAAAGCCCAACCTATATACCCAACTACTTTTTTAAGTCCAGCAAATTCCAAGCCAACTTTTGGTGATAGTCTATATGGAACCAGAGCCTAAACGTATTAACTTTCAGATTTAGTCCTTTTACAATTAAGCTGTGATAGCAGACTTGCAAGGTGACCAACTGCAAAATGTCTAATGATGTTTTGGGATCAGTTTATTTGCTGCACTATTTAAGGTTTTTGCCTGTTTCACCAAATCCTTTTCACTAAATTAATAAAATGAAAATGATTTAAAATGGAGTGAAAGAGGGATGAGAAAATAGATAAAAAGGAAAGACAAAAATAGGAAGAGACCAAGTCAGCTATTTAATACTCAAGAAATAAGTCAAAAAAATAACTGAAAAATGACTTGATACAACACGTCAAAAGCACAATTTATGAACACTAAAATCGATTTGTTAAATCATAAACATAACTTCTACGAGTAAGTACCTATTTCTGTAAACAACTTTCCTTTTTAGGTACAGTGATACCTTTTTATTCATCAGCCAAACCAGAGGTTTTAAGCTTATTTATTAATTTGTAATTAACTTTTGAGTTAGCATTAATGGACAGTTCTGTGTTAAGATTTATCTGTATAAATTATTCATTCATTCATTCATTTATTGGTATACCCACTAAATCCTTTTATGTTCATGACATTGTGATAGGTCTAAGGATGGGACTTAAAATATTAACAAGTAACTTCAGGGAGTTTATATTCTCATCAGAAAGATAAGGTATATATGTAAAAAACTTTAAGATGAGGCAGACTATGAGAAGTGCCTTATGTGGTATGGATATAAGGTTCTAGGAGTGCCAACAAGAATGGAGTATTTCTAGCTGGGAAGAGAAGTCAGTGGAAGCTTTGAGGAAGTGGCATTTGAGGCTGAATATAAAATATACTTAAAGAGTTAGGAAGTTGGAAAAGGAAGGGTATTTCTAATTGGTGGAACTTTTAGGACAGGAATGAATGGGGAAAATGGAAAGAACGTTCAGGGACCAGTAAGTAGTATCAGTTGTGTTCAAATGCAGACAGGGTGATTAGTAGGTGTTAAAAGTGGCAATACAGGCTGGCAACAATGAACAATGTTGGATGCCAGGCTTCAATTAATCTTGAAGTCTCAGACATTTCTCTTGGTGGCTGAGTGACCAAGAATAAAATGGTGGTTTCAGAAAAAGGAGAAACACGAACAACAGAGTAGCATAGGGGGAGGATTTGCAGTGGGCACAATGAATTGTAGCAGGAGAAAAACAGATCTCAAGAGCTGCAGGCGGGAGGTGTCAGTGCAAGCTATACAGCTGTTCAGGAGAAAGCAGACAAACAAGGGAGATGGGAGAGAGGAAGGAAAAGGTTAAGGTTAAAGAAAAGAGAAAAAGATCCAGAAGAGAGCCTTAGAAGCCACCTGTATTTCAGTATGCCTACATCATCTAGTGGGAGCTCTGGTAGCATAGTGCCTAGGCACCTGACTGCTAACCAGAAGGCTGGCGGTTCAAACCCACCAGCCACTCCTTGGAAGGAAGATGGGGCAATCTACTTCCGTAGTGATAACTGGCTTGGAAACCCAAGGAGGGGTCGCTGTGAGTTGGGTCTGACTCGATGGCACATAACAACAACATCATCATCTAGTACCAAAACATTTAAAGACTTTAGTGATGGACAATAAAATTACAGAATTACAAACACATATTTAAAAGTCGTTTCAAAATTCATTCATTGTTGTAATCATCCTTCCTCTAACACAAGATATATAGTTAGGTAAAAGGGTTAATAATGTTCCACTGTATAATACAGTGATGAGAAGATGACATTTCTTACCAAATGTTTTCAGTGCCATCTTAGAAAGCCCAGATAAGATTTAATTGGCTTTCTTTCTATCAGCATGTCTGAAAGCTGAAAGAATTTTATATATTTTCTATTTACCAAATGCATATTATATTCTTTTCACCCTTAGCCCTGAAAAGTCCAAAATATTTCATTAAAGAAACAGCACTTTTACCTCTGCTCCAGTTGTTTAATGGTAGCAGCCATCTGATTAGTCTTCTCTTCTAAGCGACTGTTTAGTTCACTTTTCTGTTTTACACCTAAGTCTGAACTCTGTTATAGAAAAGAATAATGAGTGATTTGTACAAAATCCTGAAATAAATCACACATGCCTTTTGAACTTAAATCTAAGTGGGAAGTGGAAATACTGATATCAGTTAACTCCTGTGGTAGTCATGTTTGTGTGTCAATTTGGCTGGGCCTGGTTGAGTGGCTGGGCAGCTGGTGGTAAGTTATTTCCCATGATGAGACTGGCAATCAACCCCATGGTGGGATCTACCACAAGCAGCTGAGTAGCTGCCTTTGGGAATGTGGTCTGCTTCCTGTATTTGAGGAGAAGCCTTGGGAATGGTCTCCAGCCTATGGCACGCTTGGACCCTGCATGTAGCCGTGTCATTTTTCAGCAGCCTGCTATACTCTGCCAACCTTGGGACTTAAAATGGACTTAAGTTAATGGCCCACTGTGTGGTTTGGTAACATTGTGACTTTGCCTTTTGATTTGTCAACCTTGGGGCTTCTCAGCCTCAGCAGCCAGCAGCTGTCTGAGTGAAGAAAAGCCTCTAGCTCCAGTGGGCTGGGAGCAGGAGGCAGAGCTGGACTCCAAGATTGAGGGGCTTTCGCCCGTCCCCTAGAGTCTGGTACTTTGAACTTGGACTTAAAGGCTCCAAATTGAAAGAATAAATTCCTGTTTGTTAAGGCCATCCCATCTGTGGTATATTCTTGTCAGAGTGGCACTAGCTAACCAAAACAACTCCCAAATGGAAAATAAGCAAAATGCAATTTGTTCAAAATTCTATTATTTATATGCACTCTTATCATAAAAGTCAACATCATAAAGCTATCAATTTCTCATATTCCAGTATACAAGTTAATGGAATATATGACTCAGGTGGCATGTTTGGTGGGAAAGTAGAGATTCTCCAGGATAAAAAAGACCTTCTTCCCTATTACAATTTAAAAAGTGGCTACAGCTTTTCAGAACAGTAATGCAGGATCCTATGATGGTCTGACTTCTAAAGTGATTCATCAGCAGCAAGCCTCAAAGTGAGATGGGACTCATTCCTCAGCGTGATTCTCAGGAAAATCAGGGAGGGAGGTCCCATGCCCCGAGATTTCAGAGTGAGTCTGTTGCTCGTATTTTCCCTACCTGCAGCTTAAAGGCAAGTTCGTGTTTGAGAGCCCTGAGATCGTCCAGCTGCTGCCGCAGAGACACCAGGGCATCCTGCTTCTCACAGACATCCTTCTCCAGCATCTTCATGGCCAATTCCATCTCCTGTCTCATGCCAATCTGTATCTCCAGCTCTTTTTCAACATCCTGTCCCCAAAGGCAAATAAACTGCTTACCCTCTTTTCTCAACTCAGTATAAACCATAACATTTCACAGGAAAAGGTATATTAAAACTCTTATCTGAATAAGGTGGCAAAATGTCTATAGGCTAGCATTAATTTTCAGAGACATTAACAATGAGGATAATAACTATAATAATTACAACAACATTTGCACATCTGAACAAATATATCATGTGGTAGGCAAAACACAGCATTATTTAATATGTCTAAATATTCACATAGTTGAGGCATCTCATTAGATCTCATTAACACAACTCAAATTATAGAAATTGTTGCTGTTGTTATGTGCCGCCTAGTCAGACCTGACTCATAGTGACCCCTCCTTGGGTTTCCAAGGCAGTATCACTATGGAAGTAGATTGCCCTATCTTCCCTCCGAGGAGTGGCTGGTGGGTTTGAACCCCCAGCCTTCTGGTTAGCAGTCAAGTGCCTATGCACTATGCTACCAGAGCGCCCCCATATTATAGAAATATCTACAAAGTATTATACTATCTACAAAGTATTACACTGGCCAGTCCTAAGTGAAGCAGCTGCAGTTCTTTTTAAATTTGGATGTGGGTAATATACTCAAGTGCCCAAGGAACCCTAAAGATACTTTGGGTTAGCAGGCTAATATCTCATCTACTGGGAACAGTCAACATGGCTAACTGAAAATTTCGATTTACTTCACATGAAACCTTTTTATTTCAGCCATTAATATTGTAAATCTTTCTGAAAAAGGAGGTTTTCTTCATGTTTCTGCTTTATGAGACGATGTTCTCTGGTGATAAGGATCTGCTGTGCCCCAGCAGCACTTGGACAATCAAGTGTGACTGGTCAAAGATACAAAGGCCTGAGGTTCTTCTGTACCTACAAGATGCCCAGGGCACACACCAAGGACCTTGCTTATTTGCTTGTTTTCTTTCCTTCTTAACATTTATCTTATTCTGATAAAAGGATGCAGAAAATTTTACTTAAGAGTTTTATTATGTGCTGCTTAACTATGACTCTCCTGTGTACATGGTTAGGCCAACAGACAATGAATATATGACTCCTAAGAGCGTAGTGCCTAAGGCACTTGACTGCTAACCAGAAGGCTGGCGGTTCAAACCCACCAGCCGCTCCTTGGAAGGAAGACTGGGCAATCTACTTCCATAGTGATACCGCCTCAGAAACCCAAGGAGAGGTCGCTATGAGTCGGGTCCAACTCGAAGGCACATAACACCACCACCACCAACAAAGAGCCCCCTTATCAGAAGTATTGGAAATTGAATTCACAAATACATTAAATGCAAATTTCCAGGAGTGTTAAACTAACACTTTTATATACAAACACATTGTTATATATTCAAAACCCTGACATTCTGTCCCATACATTGTAATAACTGTTTAGTACAAACTGTTTAGTACAAATTAAGTCACTCCGTATTTTCAGGCTTCTCCCTATTCTTAGACACAGCAGGTGTCTTTCTGCTTTTCACACTATCTGAGCTACAGGAAGAGTTAATATACTAACACTGTGTTCCACATGGTTTTTAATGGCTGTGATCTTTCAGAAGTAGTTCACCTTTCTTTTGAGATGCCTTGGCTGGATTCTAACTGCTAACCTTTAGGTAGCCAAGCACTGAACTATTTGAACCAGTAACACTAGGGGTGTATTAATATAGTAATACTAATTCATATTTGGATAAAAATATATGAGTAAAATTCCTCACTATAAATTCATATATAATGAATTTCTAAAACTACCTTAAAACCAATACTGGGAGGATGAGAAAGACATAGAGAGGTATATGGGAAGTACAGACAACAAATATGAACCCTTTTGCATATACAGTACTGAGTTGTAAGTGAAGGCAAACGGGTATATGGATGGATAGATAGGTGGACAAGCTAAAC